AGCTCTATTCTGATAGATTAGATTAGATTTAGATAGATAGCTAATAGATAGTTGAGCGAGAGAGATGATAGCTATAGACACAGACAGACATAGAGATGATATAATTAGATACAGACAGGCAGGCAGATGCCAAAAAGAAAACAAAAGAAACCCTGCGAGTTTCCCAAGTCCAGTTGCCTCTCGATCAAAGCACCCAGGCGGCTGAGAATCTCCACCGACGGCCCCGCGGGAGCGACCGGGGATGGGGGGGAAGGAGCGACCGGGGCGGTGGGGCGTGCAACGAAGGGAGCGGCGGCGGCTGCCCCAGAATAAAAGCCTCTCTTCGGGCCATGCCTGACTCAGCGGAAACGATCCCGGCCTTCCCTCCGGGCCGGCCGCGGCCTCGCTTACCGGCTGAGGTGATCATGGCGCCGTCGCGGGGCGGTCCGGGCCGGCTCGGCGCTCCCGGAACGGAGAAAAGGCGAAACGAGCACGGATCCTTCCACGAGCAGCACCCGCTTCCAAGTCCGTGACCAAGCGCATTCGCCGCTTCCGGAGCAACGCCGGAAGTGACGCTTGGCAACCCGCGACGGCGACGGGGCCTTCACTCAAGGGCGCGGTTTCTTAGCAACCAGCCGGCGAGCCAGCGGGCGAGCGGGAGAAAAAGGAATGCGGGGTGGCTTTCGTAAACGCCTGCTTTGAAAATTGCTGGCATTTGAGGGCTGGGCAGGAGGGGAAAGATGGGAAGAAAGCGAAGCAGACTAAAGGAGGAGGAAGGGAAGGGGTGGTTTACGAGACAACGACGCCGAGGGTGATAAAAAAACGTCGATCAAGCTATACCTGTTGAATGCCTGCCTGCCTTGAGGCTGAGAATCGCTCAGGAGGCCGCTCCCAAAATGGCTGACTTGGGTCTTGGGAGGCTAATTTCTGTTCTGTTAACCAGAGGCAACTAACGTCATATTTCCAGTGTTTTGCAAACTGGGTTAATGTGTTCACCTGGGCCTGAATTCATTTGGTTTGGGAATTCAGAGAATACAGTATAAACCAGAGTTTTTTTTTCCCAACTTTGGAGATTTTATTTTAAGGCATGTTGACTTCAGATCCCAGAATTCCCCAGCCAGCATGGAGTGGATTTGAATTCCCAAAATTCCCTTTGTGGAGCAGAAGTCAAGAGTTCTTCACCAGTTAACCAAGTCCTTGTGATACAACGAAACTGATGCATGATCTCATCATGGGGTGTGGCCAATCTAGAGAAAAGAAGAGTAGGAGTGACATGATAGAAGTCTTCCAGTATTTGGGATGGCTACCAAAAAAGAATTGAGGCCTTTGAACTCTGGTGCTGGATAAGACTCGTGGTATAACCAGAACCATCTGGAACTGAACACACTCAAAACCGTAGAAATGGTGGTAGACTTTAGAAGAAACCCACTCATACTACCACCTCTTACAATACTAGACAACACAGTATCAACAGTACAGACCTTCCAATTTCTAGGTTCTACTATATCACATGACCTAAAATGGACACCTAACATCAAAAACATCATCAAGAAAGCACAACAAATAATGTTCTTTCTGCGCCAACTTAGGAAGCTCAAACTGCCCAAGGAGCTGCTGAGCCAGTTCTACAGAGGAATGACTGAGTTTGTCCTCTGCACCTCTATAACTCTCTGGTTTGGTTCTGCAACCCAAAAGGACAGACACAGTCTTCAGAGGATAATTAGGACCGCAGAAAAAAAAATTACTACCAACCTGCCTTCCATCAAGGACCTGCATACTGCACGAGTCAAAAAGAGGGCTGAGAAAATATCTACAGACCCCTCACATCCCGGACATAAACTGTTTCAACTCCTTTCCTCAAAATGACGCTATAGAACATTGCACACCAGAACAACTAGACACAAGTTTTTTCCTGAACGCCATCACTTTTCTAAACAAATAATTCCCTCAACACTGTCTGCACTACTATTAATCTTCTCATCACTTATCGCCCATCCCCTCCCACTTGTGACTGTATGACTGTAACTTTGTTGCTTGTATTCTTACGATTTATATCCTAGTATGATTTGATTGCTTATTGTACCCTATGACTATTATTGTGTTGTACCTGATGATTCTTGACTGTTGATGAATGTATCTTTTCTTTTTTGTACACTGAGAGCATTTGCACCAAGACAAATTCCTTGTGTGTCCAATCACCCTTGGCCAATAAAAAGAATTCTAATTCTAATTGTAAGACTCCTGAGAGTCCCTTGGACTGCAAGGTGACCAAACCGGTCAGTCCTAGAGGCGATCGACCCTGACTGCTCTTTGGAAGGCCAGATCCTGAAGGTGAAATTCAAAGACCCTTAATAAAGAAGCAAGTTTCCTGACAGTTAGGACAATTAAGCAGTAGAACCGCTTGCCTCCAGAAGTTGCGGACGCTTCAACACTGGAGGCTTTTAACAGACTGGAGGGCCACTGCCTCAAATTTTATAGGGTTTCCTGTTTGAGTAGGAGGGTGGGCTAGAAGACCTCCAAGATCCCTTCCACCTCTATTCTGAATTCCAATCTCCGTTGCACACAGCCTGTTTCTCCAACTGGTGAAGGTCCAGTTTTGCAATCTGTTTTCCAGGCTTTGTTTGCTTTTCCTTTAGGAAAAAAAAATAACTGGAGTCTGATTAGCATTTTGCAATGTCTTTATGTTGTAATCTATTTATTTACAAAGATACAGGTTTATTCATGGTATCTGTGCAGTGCATCATCAAATTAGGCAACCTGGTGACAATTAGCAAGCGAGTCAAGTACCACAGAGACTAATCAGTCCCTTAAAATTCTCCACTGCTCCCTCGGAAACTCTCTCAGGAGCGCAGGGAAAATCCCTTTTGTTTATAGTTGTCATTTAACACAGGCTCCATTTCCTGTGAGATAAGGGAGCTTGCTAGCAAAATCCCAGAAGCATGCCAAACTCAGTCTCCAGGGTACAAAGTTTCTCACGATTTGCAGCCATTCAGAATGAGCGTGCAGCTAGCTTTTAGTCTTATTGAGCCCAAATTCCCACTGCTAAACGAGAAGATGGCTTCCCCACTGACTTTGCTTGTCAGAAATTCACAAAATGAATCCAGGACAGAGCAACTGTCATAAATACAAACAAGTTGCCAAACGTCCAAATTTTGATCATCAAAATTTGATCAATTTTGAATGCTGCAACGGTCGTCAGGGTGAAACCTGATCGTAAGTCATTTTTTTACAAGGCCGTTGTAACTTCGAACATCGCTAAATTAGTGGTTGTAAGTCAAGCATTACCTTACTTCCTTGTCCAATACTTGATGACAAAAAAATCCTGTTTCTAGATAAGAAGGCAAAATGGCTACAAACCCAGTAAAGGCCTTGCGACCAATTTTAATGGCCAGAAAGGTTTATAGAAGCTTGTCGGATAACTGAGTCATTAGCCATGCAGTTCCATCTTACAAGCAAGGTCAAATTGTTTATTGAAAACCAACGACACTTATAACATTCAGAATTCACCTATCTCTTTATCTTCTTATGACTATAACATTTTTGCTTATCACGATTGTTGTATGTATACTGAGAGCTAGCTTATGCACCAGAAACAAATTCCTTGTGTATCTAATCACACTTGGCCAATAAAGAATTCTATATTTCTATATATAATTGACATCTGCTCTTTGAAAGAGGATTAACTTTAAACAGTCATTGCACAGGCAAAGCACCTATGCCACAAATGGCTGTTTATTCCAGATTTTCAAAAGGCACAGCATTAAAATGCATTAAAACAAGTTCTACAGCAGAAGGCACAAAGTCCTCTTAAGAGGAAGGGGAGAGGGCATATTCTGTTTATTAATCTTGACAAGCGGATTAAAACACCGCACCTTATGGCTTGCATGAAACCTTTTGATTTGATAAGTTTCAAAAGCTTGTGTTTTGTGCTGATACAACTCCCCCGCAGTTTATTTATAAACGAATTTAAACTTGGTAGGTAAATCTGGTCAAACATTTGCAAAAGGTATTGGGAACCAGCTTCAGTTAAAGAAATCCCATTGCTGAAGGATATATCTGCTATAATCTGTCATGAACACCGATTTAAATTGGTAAAAGAATGATGGGGTAACTTTTGTTTGTCCTTATCTTCCTGTAATTCCTGTAGCTGGATTTGCACAATCTCAAAAACTGAAACCACCTTTTTGTCTGGCTTCTTAGGCAAACCCACCTGTGCAAACTGGATGGAGTAAACAATGGTTAACTTCATCATTAGTAAATAAATTATAAGCATTTTAAAACTTTGCACTCGTACCTCCAAGAAGCAATGCATGGGATACTTGAAATAATTAATGAAATGAACTGGGTTCTCAATTGTTTTGTCAATCATTGACTGTGTGACTATTCTTATAAACATTTCTCCCCACAAACTGGGTCAAATAAACTAGATTACAATCTTACTACCCCGAGCCAGGCTGAATATACAAGTCAGGGACCTGCATGGCTGGCTGGCTTTCTTTCTTCTTTCTTTCTTTCTTTCTTTCTTTCTTTCTTTCTTTCTTTCTTTCTTTCTTTCTTTCTTTCTTTCTTTCTTTCTTTCTTTCTTTCTTTCTTTCCTTCCTTCCTTCCTTCCTTCCTTCCTTCCTTCCTTCCTTCCTTCCTTCCTTCCTTCCTTCTATCTTTCTTTCCTTCTGTTTCTTTTCTTTCTTTTTTACTTTCTTTTTTCTTTCTCCTTCTCTCTCTCCCTCCCCTCTCCCCTCTCCCCCCTCTCTCTATCTATAAGATGATGGTCCTTTGAATATTATTTTTAGAGAAATAGAAAATTGTTTCAGAATGTAACATAAGTAGCTCTATGCATCTGCTTTCTATATTATAAGATACGGGAGATTAGGACCTTACAATCTCATCAATATTTTTATATAAAGATTCATAAAGATTCAGGCTACAAAATACAGCATTTGGGAAAGCTTTCTGTAGGAGAGGGACAAATAAATAAACGTTCATTTTATTGAAAAAAATGTTTGTAAAAATGCATAACCATAACATTTGTCTTCATTCGTGAAATGCGTAACTCTTTTATTTTGATGGAAAAAAATATATTGCAAGTTTTAACTATGCCTATCATACAGTGTTGCTCAACCTAACCCTAGCCCTGGCTACTGTCAAAGGTGTGGACTTCAATTCCCAGAATTCCCTAGCCAGCAAGGCCAGGCTAGGGAATCCTGGGAGGGTTGAGAAACACTGATATAGTAAATTTCCAAAACATAGCAAGGGACAGCATAGCCACAAGACCGAGTAACTACACATGTGTATCTCCATTAACAACGTAGTAGAATTTCTTTGCCACCTGAAACCATATTCAGGAACAGAATAAAGTGGATTTTTTTCCCCTCAAAACATGAGCATTTGTTTCTCTTTTCCTTCCGAGCATCAAGATTTCCAACGCTGCGGACAGGGATGTCAGAATGAAGGATACAAGCTAAATAAGAAAGAGACGGTTGGATCTGGCAAGAATGATGATTGCGTTGCCATTTCTGTTGTACAGTCTCCATCACAACTTTTGGGAAACAATGATGGTTCTCTAAATTGTGAGCCTCAAGAGGTCCAATGGATTTTATGAAGAGAATATGCACCTTAATGTGCTTAAGAGTAGAAACAAATGCTTCTTTGGTTCGCCATGAAACAAGGATGCTGAAACAAACCAGCATCTTTTCTGCACCACTGCTTCTGGAACAAACTATCATTAAAACAAAACAAAACCAGGCCAGCTTCTAGCTGCTTCCTTCACGGAGCTTGTAAGGCTATCCCAGATTTGGAACTCTTTTTTTACTCCTCAAAAGATAGGATAGAAAGAACGTGGAATCCATCAGACAACAAACCACGGCCTGTTAAGTGTCCAACATCTCTGAGGCCTCTTCACACTTCCCATTGGGTGCAATGTTGGTCAACGCCATGGCGCCTTCTAAGTCTTGTATGGCATCTACATTGGAAAAAAAGGGCAGGGTAGGATAAGGCATTAAAATGGCATGCTCAGTTTTACATACATTCATTCTCTAGAATAGTGTTTCTCCATCTTGGCCATTTTAAGGCGGGTGGACTCCAACTCCCAGAATTCCCCAGCCAGCATCGCTGGCTGGGGAATTCTGGGAGTTGAAGTCCACCCGTCTTAAAATGGCTAAGGGTGAGAAATATTGACATAGAAGGCGTCCCAAATTCATTGGGAAAAAACTTATAAGATGAGCAGCCATATAAATTTGATTAATAAATAAAAATAAATATGAGGTTTCTGCTGATCCAATAATATGCCTTTTAACTAAGCTTCAGATCAAATCAATCAAACGTTTATTGTCAACGCACAACACGTGTAACAATGAAATTGAAAATAAGAAAAAAAAACAAAAAACCTTGATTCCGCATCCAGGTTAAGTGTGTGGTGGGAACGCAGGCAATGTTTTTGCAGCGCTCATGAATTCGTAGGCCTCTTTACCTTCATTTAATTTTGCATCCGTCTGAAAATCCTCGCTCCTTCTGCCCCACGGAATACACGACAATAAGGCAGGCAGTTTTGGCTTTGGGAGTTCTGCCCCATCTGTAAAAGCAAAAAAGGTCAAATTAGTGACCCAACTAGGTAACATCATCAGTGCTAGAAGGGGTGTGGGGTTGAGGAGGAGGAGGAGGAGGAGGAGGAAAAATAAGACTGTGGGGTCCTCTGAGCTTGGTTGTTTCCTTGCAGATGTTTTATTACCCAACTAGGTAACATCATCAATGCAAAAGGGAAGAGGAGGAGGAGGAGGGGAAAAAAGATTGTGGGGTCCTCTGAGCTTGGTTGTTTCCTTGCAGACGTTTATTACCCAACTAGGTAACATCATCAGTGCAAAAGGGAGGAGGAGGTGGAGGAGAACTAGGGGGTCCTCGTGCTCTCTGAGGTTGCTTGTTTTCTTGCAGACGTTTCATTACCCAACTAGGTAACATCATCAGTGCTAGAAGGGAAGGGGGTTTGCATAACGGAAGAGGAGGAGGAGGAAGAGGAGAATGGGGTCCTTGGTGCTTTATGACTTTTGGTGGTTTTCTTGTAGACGTTTCATTGTCCAACTAGGTAACATTATCAGTGCTAGAAGGTTTGCTGTCTATAAGCAAGCTCCTTTCATATAAAGAGAAAGCAACCTCCCCCACAGCACTGACGATATTACCTAGTTTAGGCAATGAAACGTTTGCAAGAAAATAAGCAACCTCAGAGAGCACCAATAATACCTCATAAGGTATGTGAAGGTATAGATATTTAAGAGCTGACCAGAAGCTATAAAGCTGATGCAATGTAAAGCTGATGCAATAAGGATGAATCAGCATAGCATGGGTATTGCCCTTTTAAGACAAAGAATGGACCCACAGTTGTTTTACCTTTTTAAGAAGTATTTATATAAAGGCAAACATTAGTGGGCGTATTTCTCTCTCCTTATGTCCAGTCTCCATTGAGTTAAGAAGATTGATTGATTGTCAGGTATTTTGCCTACCACGTATATTTCTGTATATGTCTTGTACATAAACCACTGTTCACGTCTAAGCCTGTGTGTGTACCGTGTTTTGCTCCTGGGTTGTTTCACAATAATAGTCACGCTGCAAACGCTCTGACAGGAGTCCTTTTATTTTAGGGTAATGGAGCCCCAAATGTCAGTCACAAGTCATGACAGTTGTGACTCAACTGATTTTCTGACTTTTTGGGTAGCAATTGTTAAACCAACACCGTGAGGGTTAAAGCAACCCCAACTATGGATTTTTTTTCTTTTGCCGTTTTCCTGCCCCCCCAAAAATGTTGTAAATTGTGGGAAGCCCCCACTCCTAGAAGAATGAAATATTTGGGGGAATATTAAAAAAAGGCAGAATATTAGTTTTTCCCAAAGGAGAAATGGAAAAACGTGCTCTTAAAGACAGAAAGCACCACCCAAGTCTTTCTTAATAGCCTACAGCAGATGCCAGCACTTAAGGAGATAAAGAGCTTATTGAAAGAGGAAGTCAAGTGTCTAGATGGCTCCATTCATAAGCAGAGCAAATATTGCTGGCAGAAATCCATTTCCTTAGAGCAAAGTTGGACAGCTAACAAAAGCCAAGTTAATAGGATTATAACAAGCAGTCCCTCACCCAAAATCTAGCACAGGACAAAAAAATATCCCATCAGCCACAATGGGAATTGCCCAACACCCTCTTTAGGGACATAAAGCCCATATTGCACACATCCCAAACTTCCAAAACACAGAACCTTAGAAGAACCCTTTCCTCTCACTCAGCTAGTTGTTCAGCTGACCCAGAGCCACATGTTGTTTTTGTGTGTGTGATTGTGTTGAGTATTGAACCATCTTTCCAATCAGGCTCCCTGTTGTTCCCAGCGTCTCTCTCCCAGCTTGGAACTGAATCAGATGGATATTCCTTCCAACAATCCCCTAAGGGAGAGTTTTCCATTCCTTGCAAGTAGCATTAAAAAAAAAAAAGTTTAAACCTGCATCCTGAATGTTAATCCGGCCACCTCCAGAGTGCCGAGAAGAGCAACCAGGATGATGAGGGGACTGAAGGCTAAAACCTGCGATGAACGGTTGCAGGAACTGGGCCTGGCTGGTCTAGGGAAGAGAAGGACCAGGGGAGACAGGAGAGCATCTTCCAATATTTGAGGGGCTGCCACAGAGAGGAGGAGGAAGGGGGTCAAGCTATTCTCTAAAGCACCTGAAGGCCAGACAAGGAATAATGGATGGAAACTGAACAAGGAGAGATTCAACCTGGAAATAAGGAGACATTTTCTGACAGTGAGAACAATCGACTGGTGGAACAGAAGTTGTGGGAGTGCCATCATTTGAGACTTTCAAGAAGAGACTGGACTGCCATCTGTCAGAAATGGGTGTAGGGTCTCCCGCTTGGGCTAGATGACCTCCAAGCTCCCTTCCAACTCTGTTAACCTGTATCTTCTGTATCTGTAAGTTAGTCCAGGTCAGGAAACAGACTCCCATTGAAAATTAGACTTCCATTAAAGACACAGAAATAGCACAGTGCCTCCTCCTTGATGGTGAGTGGGGGTTGGACTAGACGACCGCCAAGGTCCCTTCCAACTCTGTTAATCTGTAAGGTAGGCCAGGTCAGGAAACACATTGAAGATTGGACTCCCATTAAAGACAGCCACCTATGTGAAATAGTCTAGCGTCTCCTCGAGGGGGGAAGGGGTTGGACTAGACGACCTCCAAGGTCCCTTCCAACTCTACTATATCTGTACCTCCCTTCTCACCTAAGAACTCACCTACCTTTCTGGGGGGGTCAAGGCATTTCGCTCCCCCCCCCAAAAAAAACAAACATGGTCTCGTCTCCCACCCACCCGCGGGGCTCCCAGCGCTACCGCGACCTTCGCGGAGATCATTTGCAAGAGGGCGCCCACGGGCGCCGCCATCTCCCGCCTGCCCCCAGGGCCCCGTGCGCACCTGCTCGCAGCTTCAAGGCGGCTCGCAGCGCTCGGCAAGCGGCTTCCCGGGCTTCCCGGCCGTCCCCCGGCCGGTAAGCCACCGCTTGCAACGTATCCGGCAGCCCGGGATCGCGGCTGCGGCGGCGGCGGCGGGAGGAGAAGACCCTCCGGAGCAGCCCTTCCAGCTGCAGCCGCGCCGCCTCCGGGGCCTCGGGGTTCTTCGGCGGCTGCAGCAAGAGCACCACGCCGACCACGGCGGGCGGCGGGGCGGCGGCGGGGAGCTGGGCGCGCAGGTCGCGGAGGATCTCGCGCAGGCGGCGCATCTCCCGCGGCTGCTCCAGCGAGGCGGGCAGGAAGAGCGCGAAGAGCAGCGCGCAGCCCCGCAACGGATGCCGCCCGCAGCCGCTGCGCACCCGAGCCCGCCGCAGCCGCCGCCGCCGCCTCCCCGCTGCAACGGCCTCGGTCTCCCCTTCCTCCTCCTCCTCCTCCGGCGGCGGCGGCTCGGCGAAGAGATCGCGGGCGAAGGTCTGCAGCTCGGCCGGGCGCACCTCGCCCGCCAGCCGCAGCGGCTCCCGCCCGCCCGCCCGCTCCAGCAGCGCCCGCAGGTCCCGCAGCGCCTCCGGCTCCATGGCCCGCCGGTGCTGCCCGTCTTGGCCCGCCGCCGCCGATGCCCGGCGCTTTTCTACCCCGCCGCGCCAGGCGCCGCCTCCGGAACCCGGCCGGCCCGGTCTGAGTCCCGGCGATCGCCGCTGCTGCTGCAGCCGGGAGGGACGCCGCGAGAGGCCCCTTAGTTAGAGCAGGGGGTTGGGCTAGAAGACCTCCGAGGTCCCTTCCCCCTCTCTTCTGGTTGATTTTTTAAACAGAGCTTTTTAACTTCTTATCGCCCCTCCCCTCCCACTTGTGACTGTATGTAACGTTGTCTCTTGCATCCTTACGATTTATATGGACTGTTTCCTAGTATGATTTGATTGCTTATTGTACCCTGTGATTATTATTAAGTGTTGTACCTGATGATTCTTGACTCTTGACGAATGTATCTTTTCTTTTATGTACACTAAGAGCATTTGCACCAAGTCAAATTCCTTGTGTGCCCAATCACACTTGGCCAATAAAATAATTCTATTCTATTCTTTATTCCAATATCCTATTGGCCTGTTTCCTAGTATGATTTGATTGCTTATTGTACCCTATGGCTATTATTAAGTGTTGTACATGATGATTCTTTACTCTTGACAAATGTATTTCTTTTTCTTTTATGGACACTGAGAGCATTTGCACCAAGACAAATTCCTTGTGTGTCCAATCACACTTGGCCAATAAAAGAATTCTATTCTATTCTATTCTATTCTATTCTATTCTATTCTATGTCTGTGGACTTCTTCAAGCCCTTATCCTGCCTTGTCTCATTAATTGCTTCAGTGTGGTTTGTGTTGTTTTTTTCTATTTATAATTTATTTGTATTTTGAGTTTGAACGGAATTTCTTCCTTTTCACAACTGTTTGTGGGGAATTTTTTCTCCAATGATAATTGGACCTTTGAAGCCAAGTCTTGACTCTTGACGAATGTCTCTTTTCTTTTATGTACATCGAGAACATTTGCACCAAGACAAATTCCTTGTGTGTCCAAGCACACTTGGCCAATAAAGAATTCTATTCTATTCTGGTCTATTCTCTATTCTATTCTCTATTCTATTTTCTATTCTATTCTATTTCATTTTCTATTCTATTCTATTCTCTATTTTCTATTCTATTCTATTCTATTCTATTCTATTCTATTCTATTCTATTCTATTCTATTCTATTCTTTAATTTATCCAATATTTCTTCCATTCTATTCCTATGCCTATTCTGTTCTATTCTTATTCTTCATCCCAATATTCTATTCAATTCTTCATCCAATATTTATTCCTATTCCTATTTATCCTATCCTATCCTACCCTATCCTATCCTATCCTATCCTATCCTATCCTATTCTATTCTTCATCCAATATTCTATTCTATCCTATCAGAATAACAGAGTTGGAAGGGACCTTGGAGGTCATCTAGTCCAACCTCCTGGAATACAGCATCCAGTTTTGGACACCACAAAAATGACGTTGAGACTTTGGAAAAAAATGCAGAGAAGAGCAACCAAGAGGATTAAAGGCCTAGAGGATAAAACATACAAAGGACGGTTGCAGGATTTGGGGTTTGGCTAGTCTAGAGAAAAGGGGGGGGGACACGAGAGCATCTTCCAGCATTTGAGGGGCTGCCCCAAAGAAGGGGGGGGGTCAACCTAATCTCCAAAGCACCTGAAGGCAAGTCAAGAAGCAACAGATGGAAACTAATCCAGGAGAGAAGCAACCTGGGAACTAAGGAGAAACTTCCTAACTGTGAGGACGATTAACCAGTGGAGCGAAAGTTGCCTCCAGAAGTTGTGGGAGCTTCATCACTGGAGGTATTTAAAACGGAGATTGGACAGCCACTTGTTTGAGATAGGATAGGGTCTCCTGCTTGAGGAGGGGGCTGGGCTAGAAGACCTCCAAGGTCCCTTCCAGCTCTATTCTAAGTCGCTGGAAGGGAGCCCATCGTCCTGAGCCGGCAGGGCTGGGAGAATCCCGGATCCCCAGGGAGGGCGACGGGTTGGTCAAGGTTTGTGCCCACCCTTGCTTGCTTGCTTGCAAAAAAGTGGGGTGCGCATCCATTGAGAAGGCTGGGCACGCTTTCACAGAGACACGCCTACAAAAGCGCACTCTGGCAAGCATCTTGTCTATGCCTGGGATTTCCTGGTGGTCTCTTGTCCAAGCGCTAAACACACTGAACTGCTGTGTGCACGGAAGCTCAGCCAATCCTGCCATGCAGTCTTTGTGTACTGGGGATTATGCCAGTCCCGGGGTACAGCATGCAGAAGTTCACACAGTCGTGCTCTGGAAGGGACATGGTTCCCCTGAATTTAACCGCTTAGAGAGGGCTGTAAAGCACTGTAAAGCGGTGTATAAGTCTTAAGTGCTATTGCTGTTGTTCGTCCCCGGGATTTCCTAGTGGTCTCCTGTCCAAGCACTAAACATGCTGAACTTCCGTGCACAAGGAACCCAGCCAACCCTGTCATGCAGTCCCCTCTGGGGTGAATGCCATTCCCAGGGTTCAGCAGGCAGAGATGCATGTGTTGTGGCCCACCAGCAGAGCTGGCGGCAGACTCGGACAGTGAGGAGGTTGGGGAGGAACATGGGCCAGTCCTGGAGTCTGGGGAAGGTTCTGACGAGGGCTCTGCGTCGGAGGCAGAGATGGGGCCAGGTGTAGAGTTGTAATTGCAGGAATGTTCCAATCTCGGATGGCAAACCTCAGATCAAGAATGTTTCCAAGCAAGTACAACTCAGGTAAACAAAGTCACTAATCTAAAGGAGGACTAGAGAGAGGAAGTAAACATATGTTAGACTTTAACTAGAGATAATTGTATGGATTACTGTGCTAAACAGTAATGAAAGTTAAGCAGTAAGCAAAGTTAACCAGTGATGGAGGATAATTAAAAATGTGTATAAATGCAAGACTAGACTCCAATAAAGATCATCATGATTCAGTTGTTCATGATCAAACAACTCGACTTCCTCGTCATTACAACAGGCAGGGCTGTCCGACAGTTATCAGCTGCCTTAGGAGTTGGTGATCAGTGGGGAAGAAGAACAGCTGGAGCCTGTTCCCAGTATGCACATGCACAGAGCTGCCAGGAGAAGGGAACAGTTAAGGAACAAGGGTCGACTCAGGAGTGAAGCCACAGGTGGATGGTGAATGGCCCCTCCCATAGGGAATAAAGAGGAGCGAAAGGGGAGTGGGGTTTGCTGGAGGCAATTAGTTCAATTCATCAGGGTGAAGATCTGTTCCTGACTTCTTGCCAAGTAATTGCTGCTACAGCATGGCGTTTGGAGGATATCTGCCTGGCAACTCTCCAAGCCTCTTCAGTCTAGTTGTGAAATCTCATGAAAGACTGTTTGCCGAGACTTTGCTGGAGGGGAATTCACTTTTAACCTAAAAAAAGGGGTTTTTATCGGGACGAGGAGTCGCCTTCGTGATCTTGAGAAGCCTAGGTCAGAACAGCGTGCACAAAGCCACACGCAGAGCGAAGCTCGCACCCTAAGACAAAACCTCCATGTGTTCTGACCCAAACCTTGGTCCAAGTAAACAAACACCAAACAGAGATAAAAGCCAAACCTTTTAATGCTTCTCTGTGAATTCCGTTCATTCATGGTTAAAAGGCTATTCAAACTCATTGTCTCTGATAAGAACGAGCCTTGCCAAGGTGGTGCAAGGCTGCCAAGAACACCAGATAAAGTTACTAATAAATATTTCAAACACAAAGAGTCTCCAAACACCAACCAAGATATCCCGAACGTCCACAAGGCTTGAGTGCAAAAATTTCTTTGCTTCCTGCAAAGAACTCGTTTCTCAGCTGGCTTTTATCCCTTAAGGGAGGGGCCATTACCTTGCAGCCTTACTCCCGAGTCGCCCGTGCTGCTGCAGCTGCTCTTTCCTTCGAGCAGTCCTGTGTAGAGTTATAATTGCAGGAATGTTCCAATCTCGGATGGCAAACCTCAGATAAAGAATGTTTCCAAGCAAATACAGCTCAGGTAAACAAAGTCACTAATCTAAAAGAGGACTAGAGAGAGGAAGTAAACATATGTTAGACTTTAACTAGAGATAATTAATTGTATGGATTACTGTGCTAAACAGTAATGAAAGTTAAGCAGTAACCGAAGTTAACCAATGATGGAGGATAATTAAAAATGTGTATAAATGCAAGACTAGACTCCAATAAAGATCATCATGATTCAGTTGTTCATGATCAAACAACTTGACTGCCTCGTCATTACAACAGTCCTGTGTGCACACGCACTGGGCACAGGCTCCTCGGGGGACTCTTCCTCACTGCTGCCAGCCTCCACCATCTCCAAAGGCCTCATTCCACTCCCTGATGGTCCTGGGCCCATCCCTGCATCACACGCAGGCCCCTCATCCCAGTCCTCACTCTCTGAGACCTCAGCCATCTACACCGGCTGCCGGCAAACCACAACACCACAGGAGAAGTGCGTGCATTACACAACCCTCAAACTTGGGTTTACTGCAGGGAGCTTGGAAATATTTGCCACTGGAGGTTCAGGAACCTGTTTTGGGGAGGGACGCACAACAGTGGAGTAAGACACTGGAAACATGGAGGCTAGCAAATGGCAG